CTCCATCTGACTGGATTGTGTTTTCCTCGATATTTGTCTCTATATATTTGTCGGCCCTGCTGATGTTTGGTTTTGCAACTGGTGCCTTGCTTCTCTCTGCGAGTAGGAGTTCTCGTTCTTGCTTTGCTTCTCGTGTTGCGGCTTCTGCTTCTGTTGTTGTTTTGACTAGCAGGGCGACTTCTCTGTATGTGGATTCTCTGGCTTTGTTTAGTAAGGCCGTCTCTGTCTTTCTTTCTTCTCGTTCGGCTTGCCGGTAGGCTGCTGCCTGGTCCTGATCTGTCTTCAGCTGTGTCAGAAGGCTGCTGTCGAAAGCTCGATCCCTGCAGAGTCTGCAAGGCTTGTTAAGTGCTCTGAAAAGAACACCAAGAGTGCTTTCTCCGCAGTTCACGAGACAATCGTTAGTATCTGGTGCGAAAACGGGCTGCCAAAAACTCCACTCGCAACACCGAATGAGCGATAACCAGTCAAGACAGACTCAGCCGAATGTCAAGCGAATCAGTGTCAAGTATCTGGCTATCGAAAATCGGGCTACGAATGGAGAGTCAGCGATCGAGCGGAAGACGACAGGTGCGTGCGACTGGGCTGTGTGCGCTCGAATGATGATGGCTTTCTTGCAGACAGGACATAATTTATTGGTTATCACGCCAGACTGCCAATAAACGTTCAATCCTTTCATATTCAGAGCGGCTAGACGCGCGCCGCGGATCGGAAGGTCGTGGGCTCACTCCCTGGCGGAGACGGACTTTTCTTCAAAAATGACCTTGGCTCCCAGGTCGACCCAGCCTTGAGTGGGTACCGGGTGCAATCCCGGGAAGTAGAGGTGGCCGGCGTGATGCTGACCACATCACCCATCTTGTGCCGTTGGTCTATAAAAATATAGGTCTAGCCCTATATGCCCTATACGCCTAAAGGCGTGGAAAGGGTCCTTTACTTTTTTTTTTATATTCTATATACATGGGAAAATATGATGGCGATATTTCAATTCACAAATAAATCTTGTACACATAAACCACACACACATACACACACACACACACACATATACACTTACATATACACACTTACACAAACACACTCAATAAGCTGTTTTCTGCCTTATAATGTCAGCATGGAAGAGTTTGTCTCATCAGTTTCCACTTTTACCGTTAAGCGTTGTGGGTAGGAACAATGTGCGATCCATGGCATGATGGGCAGAAATGGCTACTGTCATTTCGTGTCAAAATTAAAGCTCTTTAATGTCATCGGTCCATATTCATCTAGGGCTGCCTTTTGCTTTCACTTCAGAGTTTGTACCCGTATAAAACAGCTGTCTCCACAAAAACTTCATACCAATATGGTGCTATCAATATCATAAACTCGCCCCAACTTATACAATAAGGATGGTGTAGTTTAAATAATGGATTCGTCCAAGGCCTCATTAGATATAGAACCTTGTTGTCTCTGGTTCATAGCCTGTGGGCAACAGCTCCGATATCGTCAGCTGTGGAAGTAAAAAGTTACTTTGATTCACGGTTTCCTGGTATTATTTCTATTTTGTGTTAATTTATTGTAGGAAAGATAATGTTATCACGCATCACTGCTATGATCTCAAGCAATTTTTTTTTTTAATTAGCGTGCGCTCATAGAATTGCTTGCACTTGCCTGCTAAGTCAGTGGCCCTAGTACAAATCATGACACTAGTGGCTGGATGTTTTCTGGCAATCAGGGCTCTGCGGTTAACCAGCTTAGTATGATCTAACAACTGTCTGGGAGGGAAAGTCTATAAGGACGGAAAGTGATGGTCTCCCTTCACCTGTGGTGACCAAGACTATATGAAGACATAGCCCGCTAGTATCAGTTATTTTCTTACTTACGTCCTTTTCAGGACATAATTTTTTCTTATTTGATGCCCCACTCTGGCTTTTGCCAGGGGCCGCAATATAGGCAGGCCATCAATGTGGCCAATTGTCTGAACGCGGTTTCTGGGACCTCTCCACGGTGATCCTCATCCGCATGGTGGCACTTTGTGTCATCGGGTGTTTATCGCTTGTGTGATGTCCTAGTGGGGTAGAAAGTCAGTCAGCCGTAGTATCAGTATCTGCCATGCTTTTATCCTTTATCTCATTCTGTGCCAACCGTCTAAAATAGGCATGACCGATGTGTTTAATAACAGCATGGAATATTCAAAAGTTGTTGATAAACCTGTTATTAAAAGATTTATTCAATTATAATTTTGTGTGTGTGGGTGGTGTTTACAAGAACGTATAACACACACACACAGAGACACGCACGCACACACATTTCTGTGTGCCTCTTACTTGCCTGTCGTCAGCTTATACATAAACCCTCCGCCTGTTGTTAAAAGAGTGTTGTGTCATTTAATTTTTATCGAAACGTTTAATTTGTCTGTTTTCTATTTTATTCAGCAATTAACTTTTTATTAATAGTGTTTCCAGGGCCTCTGTATATTACGACCAAGAAATCATATATATATATATATATATATATATATATATATATATATATCTATATATATATATATATATATATATATATATAGTTAGAGGTGTAAGAAATCATCATATATGTATATATTTCTAGTTAGAGGTTGTATTTCTTGTCGTAATATACAGAGGCTCTGGAAACACTATTAATAAAAAGTTATATATATATATATATATATATATATATATATATATATATATATATATATATATATATATATATATATATATATATATTCTGCCTTTTCAGAGAAACAGGTCCTCAGTCAGTTCATGTCAAGTCATCCTATCCTATGCTATCTTACGCGGCTAACTTATATAACACTGTAAAAATAATTTAAAACAGAAAAACGCTTATTTTGGTAATTTTAACCTACAAAGGTGACTGCTAATGAGAACCAGGGTGTAAATATTTTCTTCTCTGGCTACTGTGCTATCTAGGAAGCCTTTACTGATATCTCTCATCATGTTTTCTTCTTATCTTGGTTTCTTTGGAAGCTTTAAGTCGAGTTTATAGATTTATGTCCATCTCTTTACACACGTTACTGTCTGCACATATTACACTGTTTAATTTAAAAACACCTGACCAGAAGACAAATCAATGAGGATAAATCCTCTTTAAAGACTTCTGCTCTGTTTTTTTTTTTTTTTTTTAAAGATAGTGCTCCTACAATTTTCTTTTGTTGGTATAAAGGCAAGTCTTGTCACTGTCGAAAACTTTTTGTTCAGAGCAAATTCATTAGGGAACAGATTAAATGGTATGGCCGTCTAGTAAGGATGCAGCCAGAATAACTACCACTGCAAGCGCTACACATGACAAGACACGATGCGAAATCAAGAGGTCGCCCTAGGAGAACATAGATTAATGACGTTAAAAAGCTTCTGCGTCGACATGGATCCATATCTACCTATAAAGTAATTAATCAAAACCTGTTCCTTCTCATGTTTCTAAACGACAGAAGGGGAGCTTAATGATGATGATGGTTGTTCGGTTACTTCCTTGTTACTGGCAACTAAATCATTACGTTTATCATCTCGAAATGTTCTTTTAACTGAGCTATTAGACTTCTTGTTTCCCGTGCTTGGAAGAAATAAACAGGAACTAGTTTCAACCCTTCAGGGAAGTCACAGCACACAAAGCTCAAATGTATCCAAACATTACACCAATATAGTCAAGAATCAGTAACATGTGTTGAGAGGAGTAGGTCACGTTACAACAGTAGGCTTCTCTCATAAAGTTCCTTTTTTTTAAAACCTACTGTAGGTCGCATACTTGGTGCTGTCTACACAATCATTCTTTAACCTACTGTAGGTCGCATACCTGGTGCTGTCTACACAATCAAGTCAACAACCAGTAAACAAACCAATATTGTAAATATATGTGTCAGTTTTTCCTCAAGAAGAACTCGACATTTCATGATTTTATGTGTTTCTTGACTAAGTTAATAGTTTGTTTTCGAATTCTGCATTTGTATATTTGAAGGAGGATGTATTTATGAACTTTAATCAATGTTATTGCACTCACATTGTCTCTTCCTCAGCAAATGTCGTGGAAAAGGAACCTCTACCTGTTCGTCTGTGCATTCATCCTCTATGCATTCACGTCTTGTCCTCCTGTGATGACGTCAGCAACTACCACGAGTGATTCCACGCGAGTAATGTCAGAGTCACGTGTCACGGCCCACATCTGCCCCGTTTTGTCTTCTAATGCTACAGAGATGAATACCAGGTGACCTCCGCTGCCTGGGGCGATATGGGCTGGAATTTGTGGCTATCAGTTTCCCAGAATCTAATGCTGGCCTAGTGAACGTGAGTTCATATTTCTCAAAGAATTTGAAGAAAGCTTTGCAGTATTGAACGCCACGATAAAGCAGTAACTTAATACAACACAAGTTATGACCAGGAAGCTAAACGGAAAGACAGAAAAAGACGATTACGAAAGAACGTATCGACCAAAGTCTTTGTCAACGAATAAAACTTCTGCTATTTTACGAAACTTTCCCCTACCCTTTTTATTATTTAGTCACTTCTTGTTTTCATCAGCGGGCTGCAGTTTGTCCTGTTTTTGACATTCTCTGATTCAAATTGATACATAACGGAACTTTTACATTTAACATTGCGGAGACTGTGCAGTGCACACACTTCCGGTGACCGAAAAACCCTTCTTGAAGTGATACACGTCGGCTTGAGAAAACTAACAGTCACAACAGAAGTGTCAGTGCTAGAGAAGTGTTATAAACTGAAGAAAAAAAATCCCTAACTGTTAAAATAAAGTAAGCCTCTTTCCCTGAAGCATTATAAAATAGAACATTCTAATAAACTCTGTCACCACGAAATTGTTGCAGGCGATATTCAGAGAAACTGAAAAATATGATTCATGACGTTATCATGTCTGATCGTTGCTCATCAGATTACCTGTAGAAAACGGACATTATTCTTCACTGTGAGGCGGTTTGAAGATAAGAAACAGGCGTGACCCCTTGGATTGTCAGCAATGATCAGATTGTCAGGTCTATAATGTCGTCCAGTAACGCACCAGTGACAAACGAGTCCATTATTGTTACGTGGGACTCGTCCGCTGAATGTCACGTGGTATCCTACTACATCCACGCCAGCCTGGGAGTATTCATCAGTCTCATAGCCACCATTGCTGTTGTTGGCAACTCTTTAGTTCTGTATGTATACACAAGGTGAGCTCTTCTTGTTCTGTGTAAACTCCACCATTATCATCATCATGTGTCCACTCAGGTGACATATTTCAACCATCATTAAACTTATGATGATCGCTTTCAACCATATTTACAATCACATTTTTTTGAGACAAGAATGGGGTGTTAGAGTCACAAAAACGGGAGACCGTGATCACAAAATTGAGACAATGGGATCACACAAACTTGGCGAGAGTTATGTCATATTCTGTATTCATTAAAAAACAACAACACAAGAACATGAAAGGTGTTATTGCTCCCCTATAATTTTGTTGTTGTTGTTGTTGCAGCGACACAACCAGTACATAACTGTAGATCAACCGACGGGGAAAACCTAGAGGGGCTGTATGTCATAACGGTAGAATCGCAAATATGCCAGCAATCACACAACTAACTTTGGCCTCCTTGTCTTAGAGCAATCATGATTTCTCCTTTGGCCATATTATGTTCGTAAAAGAATATTCAATCTTGATTTCTCCATTGACCATATTGTGTTCGTAAAAGAATATTATTTCAACGGTTGCTGTGTTTCCTGGAAAGCAATATATACCACCTGTAACAACACCAAAACACACAAACACACACACATACCCACACACACATTTACATATACTATAGCTGTACCTAATAGGTGATTATCACTATTCAGCCGAATATAAATGCGAATAGTGTATAGTGTATAAGATAGATTAAAAAAAAAAAAAATTCAAAGTGTCAAATGTACGCTGAACTTTTACTTCACACAATGTAGTACATAAAAGTCGTCTTCTTCTTCTTCTTCTTCTTCTTCTTCTTCTTCTTCTTCTTCTTCTTCTTCTTCTTCTTCTTCTTCTTCTTCTTCTTCTTCTTCTTCTTCTTCTTCTTCTTCTTCTTCTTCTTCTTCTTTTTCTTCTTCTTCTTCTTCTTCTTCTTCTTCTTCTTCTTCTTCTTCTTCTTCTTCTTCTTCTTCTTCTTCTTCTTCTTCTTCTTCTTCTTCTTCTTCTTCTTCTTCTTCTTCTTCTTCTTCTTCTTCTTCTCTTCTTCTTCTTCTTCTTCTTCTTCTTCTTCTTCTTCTTCTTCTTCTTCTTCTTCTTCTTCTTCTTCTTCTTCTTCTTCTTCTTCTTCTTCTTCTTCTCTTCTTCTTCTTCTTCTTCTTCTTCTTCTTCTTCTTCTTCTTCTTCTTCTTCTTCTTCTTCTTCTTCTTCTTCTTCTTCTTCTTCTTCTTCTTCTTCTTCTCTTCTTCTTCTTTCTTCTTCTTCTTCTTCTTCTTCTTCTTCTTCTTCTTCTTCTTCTTCTTCTTCTCTTCTTCTTCTTCTTCTTCTTCTTCTTCTTCTTCTTCTTCTTCTTCTTCTTCTTCTTCTTCTTCTTCTTCTTCTTCTTCTTCTTCTTCTTCTTCTTCTTCTTCTTTTCTTCTTCTTCTTCTTCTTCTTCTTCTTCTTCTTCTTCTTCTTCTTCTTCTTCTTCTTCTTCTTCTTCTTCTTCTTCTTCTTCTTCTTCTTCTTCTTCTTCTTCTTCTTCTTCTTCTTCTCTTCTTCTTCTTCTTCTTCTTCTTCTTCTTCTTCTTCTTCTTCTTCTTCTTCTTCTTCTTCTTCTCTTCTTCTTTCTTCTTCTTCTTCTTCTTCTTCTTCTTTCTTCTTCTTCTTTCTTCTTCTTCTTCTTCTTCTTCTTCTTCTTCTTCTCTTCTTCTTCTTCTTCTTCTTCTTCTTCTTCTTCTTCTCTTCTTCTTCTTCTTCTTCTTCTTCTTCTTCTTCTTCTTCTTCTTCTTTTCTTCTTCTTCTTTCTTCTTCTTCTTCTTCTTCTTCTTCTTTCTTCTCTTCTTTCTTCTTCTTCTTCTTCTTCTTCTTCTTCTTCTTCTTCTTCTTCTTCTTCTTCTTCTTCTTCTTCTTCTTCTCTTCTTCTTCTTCTTCTTCTTCTTCTTCTTCTTCTTCTTCTTCTTCTTCTTCTTCTTCTTCTTCTTCTTCTTCTTCTTCTTCTTCTTCTTCTTCTTCTTCTTCTTCTTCTTCTTCTTCTTCTTCTTCTTCTTCTTCTTCTTCTTCTTCTTCTTCTTCTTCTTCTTCTTCTTCTTCTTCTTCTTCTTCTTCTTCTTCTTCTTCTCTTCTTCTTCTTCTTCTTCTTCTTCTTCTTCTTCTTCTTCTTCTTCTTCTTCTTCTCTTCTTCTTCTTCTTCTTCTTCTTCTTCTTCTTCTTCTTCTTCTTCTTCTTCTTCTTCTTCTTCTTCTTCTTCTTCTTCTTCTTCTTTTTCTTCTTCTTCTTCTTCTTCTTCTTCTTCTTCTTCTTCTTCTTCTTCTTCTTCTTCTTCTTCTCTTCTTCTTCTTCTTCTTCTTCTTCTTCTTCTTCTTCTTCTTCTTCTCTTCTTTCTTCTTCTTCTTCTTCTCTTCTTCTTCCTCCTTCTTCTTCTTCTTCTTCTTCTTCTTCTTCTTCTTCTTTCTTCTTCTTCTTCTTCTTCTTCTTCTTCTTCTTCTTCTTCTTCTTCTTCTTCTTCTTCTTCTTCTTCTTCTTCTTCTTCTTCTTCTTCTTCTTCTTCTTCTTCTTCTTCTTCTTCTTCTTCTTCTTCTTCTTCTTCTTCTTCTTCTTCTTCTTCTTTTTCTTCTTCAGCATTCCGAGCCCTTGAAGTTTAATGCTGCAAATATCACTCGCCTCCATTCATCTCTTTGGTTGGCCTTCTCTTTCCAGTTAGTGAAACCAAGTATTTGCAGGTCGGTCTTAACATTATCTCTCCATAGTCTTCTTGGTCTGCCTCGTGGTCTACGACCATTCCTCTCCCCGGTGTAGTTTTTACTTCTCTGTCATCTGACATTCTATCGATATGTCCCAACAATTTCAGTCTATTAGCGCTCGTAATACCAGTGATCAATGGTTATTTAAACAGATTATGAATTTCGTTGTTGCTTCTCACTCTCAATTTCCCGCTGTCTGCATCTTTGATGGGTCTAAAGATTCGTCCTGAGACTGTTTTCAAGAACCTGTAATAAGGCTTCATATCTTTTAGCTGTTTTCCAAGTTTCAGAGCAATATAAAACGACAGGTCTTATCAAAATTTTATATATTTTAATCTTGGGGTTGCGAGACAGACACTTTGACTTTATCAGATGTTGAAGTGCATAGTATACTTTTTTTTTCCAGATTGTATTTCTTCTCTCAGCATGTTGGAGCGATCAAAGTCTGCACCCAAGTACTTATATGTTTCCGTTCGTTTGATTTTCATATTATCGACTAGTATGTAGCCGGAGTTTATATTCTTTTCACGTCTAGTTAGTATACGTACAGAATAGTCAACATTTAAATACATATTATGTTTTGCATCCTTCAGTCAGTCTGTGGTAACTAATAACTATGAATGAAAGCATTCAAAGTATTATAACAAGTATCTAAACTTGAAAATTGTCACTAAGCTTAGAAATGCATAAAAGCTGCATTAGATTTCAACAAGATCAATCGTCCCATGTTGTCAATATTAAGGCCGTGTATGCAGAAGCGAGTGTAAGGTAACCACTTTTCGTATTCAACCGAATACGGAATAGTTATTGTGTCCACTATTCGTCCCCGAAGCGAATACATGTTCGGTACAGCCCTATATAACACACACTGGGTGTTTTAATAGTTCCCTCCCCCCCCCCCCTTTCCCTTACAAAGACTGCTTCACGCTGACCTGTGCAAGGGGTCCAACATCGGCGACTGTGTCGTCACCCACTGGCTAACCGGTAGACGACCTTGTCGGGGACAGTATTTGGGTCTGTCTGCTTTGATCGCATCAACACTGCAGTAGGTGACTTTTGGTAGCGTGCAGTGCTAAGCCATTAAATACTGCACACATGGCATATTCACAATTATAATCTGTTCGTTCAATTATAACCTAAAACTCCCCCTTCTGAAATGCTAGTGGTATGTGACGATTTGTCTCTAGCAAAGCACCTGGCACTGCCTTCGTTCAGTGCGTACCTACGGTAGGTCTACATGCAAACATAAATTCTGTGTTCCCAATGTTTTCTCATTACAATTTATTCAGTCTGTTTTTAGGGCAACCAGAATGTATGGCCATAATAATGACAATAAAAACCCTCCAGCTGTGAGCATCTCATCTCTTGACATGTCTTCGTTTGTAAACATCCTAAATGTATGGCGATAATAATGACAACATAATCCCTCCAGCTGTGAGCATCTCATCTCATGACATGTCATCATTTGTTTAACATCCAGAGTGTATGGCGATAATAATGACAATATAATCCCTCCAGTTGTGAGCATCTCATCTCATGACATGTCGCCATTTGTTTAACATTCTGAATGTATAGCGATAACAACGAAAATATAATATAATCTCTCCAGATGTAAGCATCTCATCTCTTGACATGTCATTTGTTTAACATTTTGAGTGTCACATACCGCTCGTGTCGCGTGCCTGGTTTAGGGATTTCTCCTTACAAACCAACAGCACTCTGAAATAGAATAATGTTGAGTCGTCGGCTCGTATTGGTCTAAAGGGTATCCCGTGGCCAATATACGCTCAACCTATTTCAGGAGTAGGGTAACTCAAGATATGTCACTACAGAATATCTAATAATCCAAGGCGCAACTTGGATGGACACCCCTACTACTATAAAAAAAATAGCTCCCAGGTTATGATAGTGTACTATCATAGCCATGTTAACACAGATGAAGATTATTAATTGAACATACATGTACTTTAGACAGCTAAGAACAGTGAATGATTGACACTCCAGTCAATAGTGAAAACTTGGAAATACATGTAATAAGTTCAACATCAGCATGATATATGACTCAGGAAAGATCGTCAACAGCATTGGAATACTGCAAGATCAACACCGAAATTCCTTTGACGGACATTGAGGAATCTCTTAGAGGCAGCTTGACATCATCATGGTGATTTGGAGTAGGCCTGTAAATATAGAACACGGCATCACGAAGGAGCTCACTACTTATCTGTTCCTATTCTAGGTTTGAGTCACTGCACTTATCAGTTCATGATACTGGAACAGGTTGGCT